CGTGTCTCTCCCACCCCCCGTGTCTCACCCCCCGTGTCTCACCCCCCGTGTCTCTCCCCCCGTGTCTCACCCCCCGTGTCTCTCCCCCCGTGTCTCACCCCCCGTGTCTCACCACCCGTGTCTCACCCCCCGTGTCTCTCCCCCCGTGTCTCACCCCCCCGTGTCTCACCCACCCCGTGTCTCACCCACCCGGTGTCTCACCCCCCATGTCTCACCCCCCGTGTCTCACCCACCCCGTGTCTCACCCACCCCGTGTCTCACCCCCCGTGTCTCATCCGCCGTGTCTCACCCCCGTGTCTCACCCCCCGTGTCTCTCCATCTCCCCCCCGTGTCTCTCCCCGTGTCTCACCCCCCATGTCTCACCACCCGTGTCTCACCACCCGTGTCTCACCACCCGTGTCTCACCCACCCCGTGTCTCACCCATCCCGTGTCTCACCCACCCCGTGTCTCACCCCCCGTGTCTCACCCCCCGTGTCTCACCCCCCGTGTCTCACCCCCCGTGTCTCACCCACCCCATGTCTCACCCCCCGTGTCTCACCCCCCGTGTCTCACCCCCCGTGTCTCACCCCCCGTGTCTCACCCCCCGTGTCTCACCCACCCCCCGTGTCTCACCCCCCGTGTCTCACCCACCCCGTGTCTCACCCCCCCGTGTCTCTCCCCCCGTGTCTCACCCCCCGCGTCTCACCCACCCCGTGTCTCACCCCCCGTGTCTCACCCCCCGTGTCTCACCTCCCCCGTGTCTCACCCCCCCCGTGTCTCACCCACCCCGTGTCTCACCCCCCCATGTCTCACCACCCGTGTCTCACCCCCCCGTGTCTCACCCCCCGTGTCTCTCCATCTCCCCCCCGTGTCTCACCCCCCGTGTCTCACCCCCCGTGTCTCTCTCTCTGTGTCTCACCCCCCGTGTCTCTCCATCTCACCCCTCGTGTCTCACCCCCCTGTGTCTCTCCCCCCGTGTCTCACCCCTCCTGTCTCACCCACCCCGTGTCTCTCTCACCCCCCGTGTCTCTCTCACCCCCCGTGTCTCTCCCCCCGTGTCTCACCCCCCCCGTGTCTCACCCCCCATGTCTCACCCCCCGTGTCTCACCCCCCCGTGTCTCACCCCCCCGTGTCTCACCCACCCCGTGTCTCACCACCCGTGTCTCACCCCCCGTGTCTCACCCCCCCGTGTCTCACCACCTCGTGTCTCACCACCCGTGTCTCACCCCCCGTGTCTCTCCCCCCGTGTCTCACCCCCCGTGTCTCACCCCCCGTGTCTCTCCCCCCGTGTCTCACCCCCCGTGTCTCACCCACCCCGTGTCTCACCCACCCGGTGTCTCACCCCCCCGTGTCTCACCACCCGTGTCTCACCCCCCGTGTCTCACCACCTCGTGTCTCACCACCCGTGTCTCACCCCCCGTGTCTCTCCCCCCGTGTCTCACCCCCCGTGACTCACCCCCCTTGTCTCTCCCCCCGTGTCTCACCCCCCGTGTCTCACCCCCCGTGTCTCACCCCCCGTGTCTCACCACCCGTGTCTCACCCCCCCGTGTCTCTCCCCCCGTGTCTCACCCCCCGTGTCTCACCCACCCCGTGTCTCACCCCCCATGTCTCACCCCCCTTGTCTCTCCCCCCGTGTCTCTCCCCTCGTGTCTCACCCCCCGTGTCTCTCCCCTCGTGTCTCACCCCCCGTGTCTCACCCCCCGTGTCTGTCCCCCCGTGTCTCACCCCCCGTGTCTCACCCCCCGTGTCTCACCCCCCGTGTCTCACCACCCCCCGTGTCTCACCCCCCGTGTCTCACCCCCCGTGTCTCACCCCCCGTGTCTCTCCCCCCGTGTCTCACCCCCCGTGTCTCACCACCCCCCGTGTCTCACCCCCTGTGTCTCACCCCCCATGTCTCACCCCCCGTGTCTCTCCATCTCACCCCCCTGTCTCACCCCCCACGTGTCTCACCCACCCCGTGTCTCACCCCCCGTGTCTCACCCCGCGTGTCTCACCCAACCCGTGTCTCACCCACCCCATGTCTCACCCCCCGTGTCTCACCCCGCGTGTCTCACCCACCCCGTGTCTCACCCACCCCGTGTCTCTCCCCCCGTGTCTCACCACCCGTGTCTCACCCACCCCGTGTCTCACCCCCCGTGTCTCACCCCCCGTGTCTCACCCCCCCGTGTCTCACCCCCCGTGTCTCACCCCCCGTGTCTCTCTCCCACCTCCCGTGTCTCACCCCCCGTGTCTCACCTCCCGTGTCTCTCTCCCACCCCCCCGTGTCTCTCCCACCCCCCGTGTCTCACCCCCCGTGTCTCACCCCCCGTGTCTCTCCCCCCGTGTTTCACCCCCCGTGTCTCACCCCCCGTGTCTCACCCCCCGTGTCTCTCCCACCCCCCGTGTCTCACCCCCCGTGTCTCACCCCCCATGTCTCACCCCCCGTGTCTCACCCCCCGTGTCTCTCCCCCCGTGTCTCACCCCCCGTGTCTCTCCCACCCCCCGTGTCTCTCTCCCCCCGTGTCTCACCCCCCATGTCTCACCCCCCGTGTCTCCCCCCACATGTCTCACCCCCCGTGTCTCACCCCCCGTGTCTCTCCCCCCGTGTCTCTCCCCCCGTATCTCACCCCCCGTGTCTTACCCACCCCGTGTCTCACCCACCCCGTGTCTCACCCCCCGTGTCTCTCCCCCCGTGTCTCTCCCACCCCCCGTGTCTCACCCCCCGTGTCTCACCCCCCGTGTCTCTCCATCTCACCCCCCGTGTCTCTCCCCCCGTGTCTCACCCCCCGTGTCTCTCCCCCCGTGTGTCTGCATCTCCCCCCCGTGTCTCTCTCACCCCCCGTGTCTCTCCCACCCCCCATGTCTCCCACCCCGTGTCTCACCCACCCCGTGTCTCACCCCCCGTGTCTCACCCCCCGTGTCTCACTCCCCGTGTCTCTCTCTCTGTGTCTCACCCCCCGTGTCTCACCCCCCGTTTCTCTCTCTCTGTGTCTCACCCCCCATGTCTCTCCCCCCGTGTCTCTCTCACCCCCCGTGTCTCACCCACCCCGTGTCTCACCCACCCCGTGTCTCACCCCCCGTGTCTCTCCCCCCGTGTCTCTCCCACCCCCCGTGTCTCACCCCCCGTGTCTCACCCCCCGTGTCTCTCCCCCCGTGTCTCACCTCCCGTGTCTCACCACCCTTGTCTCACCCCCCATGTCTCACCCCCCGTGTCTCTCCATCTCCCACCCCGTGTCTCTCCCACCCCCCGTGTCTCACCCCCCGTGTCTCTCCATCTCACCCCCCGTGTCTCTCCCCCCGTGTCTCACCCCCCGTGTCTCACCCCCTATGTCTCACCCCCCGTGTCTCTCCCCCCGTGTCTCTCCCCCCGTGTGTCTCCATCTCCCCCTCGTGTCTCTCTCACCCCCCGTGTCTCTCCCACCCCCCATGTCTCCCACCCCGTGTCTCACCCACCCCGTGTCTCACCCCCCGTGTCTCACCCCCCGTGTCTCTCCATCTCACCCCCCGTGTCTCACCCCCCGTGTCTCACCCCCCGTGTCTCTCTCTCTGTGTCTCACCCCCCATGTCTCTCCCCCCGTGTCTCTCCCACACCCCGTGTCTCACCCCCCGTGTCTCACCCCCCGTGTCTCACCCACCCCGTGTCTCACCCCCCGTGTCTCTCCATCTCCCCCCCGTGTCTCACCCCCCGTGTCTCACCCCCTGTGTCTCACCCCCCGTGTCTCTCCCCCCGTGTCTCTCCCCCCGTGTCTCACCACCCGTGTCTCACCACCCGTGTCTCACCCCCCGTGTCTCACCCCCCGTGTCTCTCCCCCCGTGTCTCACCCCCCGTGTGTCACCCCCCCGTGTCTCTCCCCCCATGTCTCACCCCCCATGTCTCACCCCCCGTGTCTCACCACCCGTGTCTCACCCCCCGTGTCTCACCCCCCCGTGTCTCTCCCCCCATGTCTCACCCCCCATGTCTCACCCCCCGTGTCTCACCACCCGTGTCTCACCCCCCCGTGTCTCACCCACCCCATGTCTCACCCCCCGTGTCTCACCCCCCGTGTCTCTCCATCTCACCCCCCGTGTCTCTCCCCCCGTGTCTCACCCCCCGTGTCTCACCCCCTATGTCTCACCCCCCGTGTCTCTCCCCCCGTGTCTCTCCCCCCGTGTCTCACCACCCGTGTCTCACCACCCGTGTCTCACCCCCCGTGTCTCTCCCCCCGTGTCTCACCCCCCGTGTCTCTCCCCCCGTGTCTCTCCCCCCGTGTCTCACCCCCCGTGTCTCACCCCCCCGTGTCTCTCCCCCCATGTCTCACCCCCCATGTCTCACCCCCCGTGTCTCACCCCCCGTGTCTCACCCACCCCGTGTCTCACCCCCCGTGTCTCACCCCCCGTGTCTCACCCCCCACGTGTCTCACCCCCCCGTGTCTCACCCCCCGTGTGTCTCTCTCTCTCTGTGTGTGTGTGTAGAAGGGAACTTACTGGCCGTGTTCGTTCCACTCCTGGACGCCGTCTGCACCAACCCGTCGCGCTACGGAGAGCCGGCTCTCCTTACGGCAGCCACGCTCTCCCTCGCCAAGTTCATGACCCTCAGGTGGGTGGGTGGTGGGTGGGTTGGTGGGTGGGTGGGTTGGTGGGTGGGTGGGTTGGTTGTGGGTTGGTGGGTTGGTTGGTGGGTTGGTGGGTTGGTTGGTGGGTTGGTTGGTGGGTTGGTGGGTTGGTGGGTTGGTTGGTGGGTTGGTGGGTTGGTTGGTGGGTTGGTTGGTGGGTTGGTTGGTGGGTTGGTGGGTTGGTTGGTGGGTTGGTTGGTGGGTTGGTTGGTGGGTTGGTGGGTTGGTTGGTGGGTTGGTGGGAGGGTGGGTTGGTGGGAGGGTGGGTTGGTGGGTTGGTTGGTGGGTGGGTGGGTTGGTGGGTGGGTTGGTGGGTTGGTTGGTGGGTTGGTGGGTTGGTTGGTGGGTTGGTGGGTTTGTTGGTGGGTTGGTGAGTTGGTGGGTGGGTTGGTGGGTTGGTTGGTGGGTGGGTTGGTGGGTTGGTTGGTTGGTGGGTTGGTGGGTTGGTTGGTGGGTTGGTGGGTTGGTTGGTGGGTTGGTGGGTTGGTGGGTTGGTTGGTGGGTTGGTTGGTGGGTTGGTGGGTTGGTTGGTGGGTTGGTTGGTGGGTTGGTTGGTGGGTTGGTGGGTTGGTTGGTGGGTTGGTTGGTGGGTTGGTTGGTGGGTTGGTGGGTTGGTTGGTGGGTTGGTTGGTGGGTTGGTGGGTTGGTGGGTTGGTTGGTGGGTTGGTTGGTGGGTGGGTTGGTGGGTTGGTGGGTTGGTTGGTGGGTGGGTTGGTGGGTTGGTTGGTGGGTTGGTGGGTTGGTTGGTGGGTGGGTTGGTGGGTTGGTTGGTGGGTTGGTGGGTTGGTTGGTGGGTTGGTGGGTTGGTTGGTGGGTTGGTGGGTTTGTTGGTGGGTTGGTGGGTTGGTTGGTGGGTGGGTTGGTGGGTTGGTTGGTGGGTTGGTGGGTTGGTTGGTGGGTGGGTTGGTGGGTTGGTTGGTGGGTTGGTGGGTTGGTTGGTGGGTTGGTGGGTTGGTTGGTGGGTTGGTGGGTTGGTTGGTGGGTTGGTGGGTTTGTTGGTGGGTTGGTGAGTTGGTGGGTTGGTTGGTGGGTTGGTGGGTTGGTTGGTGGGTTGGTTGGTGGGTTGGTGGGTTTGTTGGTGGGTTGGTGAGTTGGTGGGTTGGTTGGTGGGTTGGTTGGTGGGTTGGTGGGTTGGTTGGTGGGTTGGTGGGTTGGTTGCTGGGTTGGTGGGTTGGTTGGTGGGTTGGTGGGTGGGTTGGTGGGTTGGTTGGTGGGTTGGTGGGTTGGTTGGTGGGTTGGTTGGTGGGTTGGTTGGTGGGTTGGTTGGTGGGTTGGTTGGTGGGTTGGTGGGTTGGTTGGTGGGTTGGTTGGTGGGTAGGTTGGTGGGTGGGTGGGTTGGTGGGTTGGTTGGTGGGTTGGTTGGTGAGTTGGTTGGTGGGTTGGTTGGTGGGTGGGTGGGTTGGTGGGTGGGTTGGTGGGTTGGTGGTGGGTGGGTGGGTTGGTTGGTTGGTGGGTTGGTTGGTGGGTGCGTGGGTGGGTTGGTGGGTGGGTTGGTGGGTTGGTTGGTGGGTTGGTGGGTGGGTTGGTGGGTGGGTTGGTGGGTGGGTTGGTAGGTGGGTGGGTTGGTAGGTTTTGTGGGTTGGTAGGTGGGTGGGTGGGTTGGTGGGTTGATGGTGGGTGGGTTGGTGGGTGGGTTGGTGAAGACGTTTGGGCCACCCATCGTTGACTGGCGTTTTTGATTGCACCACCCCATCCACCACCCCACCCACCACCCCACCCACCACACCACCCACCCACCACCCACACCACCCACCACACCACCCACCCACCACACCACCCACACCACCCACCCACCACCCCACCCACCCACCGCCCTAGCCCCCAGCTCTGTGAGTCTCGCCTGCGGCTGCTGTTCACGGTGCTGGAGAGAAGTTCCCTGCCGGGCGTCAGAGCCAACACGATGGTGGCCCTGGGCGACCTGGCGTTCAGATTCCCCAACCTGCTGGAGCCGTGGACCGCCCACCTCTACGCCAGGTGGTGGGGGGAGATGGTGGGGGGGGAGATGGTGGGGGGGGGAGATGGTGGGGGGGGAGATGGTGGGGGGGGGGAGATGGGGAGGGAGGGGGGGGGAGATGGGGGTGGGGGGGAGATGGTGGGGGGGGGGAGATGGTGGGGGGGGAGATGGTGGGGGGGGGAGATGGTGGGGGGGGAGATGGTGGGGGGGGAGATGGTGGGGGGGGAGTCCAGGAGAATCCATCTCAATTTTTGTCTCACTCTCTCTGTGTGTCTCTCTGTCTGTGTCTCTGTCTGTGTCTCTCTGTCTGTGTCTCACTCTGTGTCTCACTGTCTCTCTCTCTGTCTGTGTCTCACTCTGTGTCTCACTGTGTGTCTGTCTCTGTCTGTGTCTCACTCTGTGTCTCACTCTGTGTCTCACTGTGTGTCTCTCTCTGTCTCTCTCTGTCTGTCTCTCTCTGTCTGTGTCTCTGTGTCTCACTGTCTCTCTCTCTGTCTGTGTCTCACTCTGTGTCTCACTGTCTGTGTCTCTCTCTGTGTCTCTGTCTGTCTCTGTCCGTGTGTCTCCCCCGTGTCTGCTTAGGCTGAAGGACGACTGCGCCGTGGTGAGGTCTTGCTCCCTGCGAGTGCTCGCTCACCTCGTGGTGAGCGACATGGTGAAGGTACGGGGACACATCTCCAACGTAGCCGCTCTGCTCGTCGACAAGGACCCCTCCATCGCCTCGCAAGCTAGAGCGTTCTTCACGGAGCTCGCAAAGAAGGTGATGGTGGTGGTGGTCGTGGTGGTGGTGGTGGTGGGGGTGATGGTGGTGGTGGTGATGGTGGTGGTGATGGTGGTGGTGATGGTGGTGATGGTGGTGGTGGTGATGGTGATGGTGGTGGTGGGGGTGATGGTGGTGATGGTGGTGGTGATGATGGTGGTGGTGATGGTGGTGGTGATGGTGGTGGTGGTTGATGGGGATGGTGGTGGTGGTGATGGTGGTGGTGGTGGTGATTGTGGTGGTGATGGTGGTGGTGGTGGTGATGGTGGTGGTGGTGGGGGTGATGGTGGTGGTAATGGTGGTGGTGGTGATGGTGGTGGTGGTGATGGTGGTGGTGGTGGTGGTGATGGTGGTGGTGGTGATGGTGGTGATGGTGGTGATGGTGGTGGTGGTGGTGATGGTGGTGGTGGTGGTGATGGTGGTGGTGATGGTGGTGATGGTGGTGGTGGTGGTGATGGTGGTGGTGGTGGTGGTGGTGGTGATGGTGGTGGTGGGGGTGATGGTGGTGGTGGTGATGGTGGTGGTGATGGTGGTGGTGGTGATTGTGGTGGTGGTGGTGATGGTGGTGGTGGGGGTGATGGTGGTGGTGGTGGGGGTGATGGTGGTGGTGGTGGTGGTGATGGTGGTGATGGTGGTGGTGGTGGTGGTGATGGTGGTGGTAATGGTGGTGGTGGGGGTGATGGTGGTGGTGGTGGTGATGGTGGTGGTGGTGATGGTGGTGATGGTGGTGGTGGTGGTGGTGATGGTGGTGGTGGGGGTGGTGATGGTGGTGGTGGTGGTGGTGATGGTGGTGACGGTAGTGGTGGTGGGGGTGGTGGTGATGGTGATGGTGGGGGTGGTGATGGTGGTCGTGGTGGTGGTGATGATGGTGGTGATGGTGGTGGTGCTGGTGGTGGTGCTGGTGGTGGTGATGGTGGTGGTGGTGATGATGATGGTGGTGGTGGTGATGGTGGTGGTGGTGGTGATGATGATGATGATGGTGTTGATAGTGATGATGATGTTGTTGTTGCTGCTACAGGACAACGCTTTGCCAGGCTGTGTGATGATGATGTTGATAGTGATAGTGATGATGTTGTTGTTGCTACAGTACAACGTTCTGCCAGGCTGTGTGATGATGATGTTGATAGTGATGGTGATGATGTTGATAGTGATGATGATGATGTTGATAGAGATGGTGATGATGTTGTTGTTGTTGCTGCTACAGGACAACGCTTTGACAGGCTATGTGATGATGATGTTGATAGTGATGGTGATGATGTTGTTGTTGTTGTTGCTACAGTACAACGCACTGCTAGACTGTGTGATGATGATGTTGATAGTGATGGTGATGATGTTGTTGTTGCTGCTACAGGACAACGCTTTGACAGGCTGTGTGATGATGATGTTGATAGTGATGTTGTTGTTGTTGCTGCTACAGGACAACGCTTTGACAGGCTGTGTGATGATGATGTTGATAGTGATGGTGATGATGGTGTTGTTGTTGTTGCTACAGTACAACGCTTTGACAGGCTGTGTAATGATGATGTTGATAGTGATGGTGATGATGTTGTTGTTGCTGCTACAGTACAACGCTGTGACAGGCTATGTAATGATGATGATGATGTTGTTGTTGTTGATAGTGATGATGTTGTTGATAGTGATGATGTTGTTGTTGCTGCTACAGGATAACGCTTTGACAGGCTATGTAATGATGATGTTGATAGTGATGGTGATGATGATGTTGTTTTTGTTGCTGTTGTTGTTGCTGCTACAGGACAACGCTCTGTACAACGCCTTGCCAGACATTGTGAGCCGCCTCTCCGATCCAGAGGAGGGGATTGCAGAGGAACCATTCCACACCGTCATGCGGTGAGCGGTGGTGGTGGTGGTGGTGATGGTGGTGGTGATGGTGATGGTGGTAGTGGTGATGGTGAGTGAGTGAGTGGTGGTGGTGTGGTGGTAGTGGTGGGGTCGTGGTGGTGGTGAGTGGGTTGGTGGTGAGTGGGGTGGTGGTGATGGGGAGCGGTGGTGGTGGTGGTAGTGATGGGGAGCGGTGTTGTTGTAGTAGTAGTGGTGGTGTTGTAGTGGTGGTGGTGGTGAGTGGGGTGGTGGTGATGGGGAGCGGTGGTGTTGTAGTGGTGGTGGTGTTGTAGTGGTGGTTGGTGGTGGTGGTGAGTGGGGTGGTGGTGATGGGGAGCGGTGATGTTGTAGTGATGGTGGTGATGGGGAGCGGTGGTGTTGTAGTGGTGGTGTTGTAGTGGTGGTGGTGGTGAGTGGGGTGGTGGTGATGGGGAGCGCTGGTGTTGTAGTGGTGGTGGTGTTGTAGTGGTTGTGGTGGTGATGGTGAGTGGGGTGGTGGTGATGGGGAGCGCTGGTGTTGTAGTGGTGGTGGTGGTGAGTGGGGTGGTGGTGATGGGGAGCGGTGATGTTGTAGTGGTGGTGGTGATGGTGATGTTGTAGTGGTGGTGGTGATGGTGGTGTTGTAGTGGTGGTGGTGGTGAGTGGGGTGGTGGTGATGGTGAGCAGTGGTGTTGTAGTGGTGGTGGTGGTGATGGTGAGTGGGGTGGTGGTGATGGGGAGCGGTGGTGCAGCGGTTAGCGCTATGAACCCGGCGACCCGGGTTCGATTCCCGCTCACGGCCAACGGCACCAGTGATGGCGATTATCTGAACCGGTCCTGGGCCTCCCCTAGGTCAGCTGGGCCTCAAATGAGTAGCTGGTGTAGCGGTGCGTCGTGAACATCGCCACTGGGGAGACAAAGGCGGCCGGGCGTGGTTGCTGGCCACCCACTCCCTCGTGTAGCCGTTCCGGCCTTCACAGGGTGCTGCTCGCTAACACCACTTGCCCCTACAGTCTGTTGAGGCTATACGGGGAACTTTGTCTTTGTAATGGTGGTGATGATGATGAGTTGGTGTAATAATAATGGTGGTGGAGGTGGTGATGATGGTGGTGATGGTGGTGATGGTGGTGGTGGTAGTGATGGTGGTGGTGATGGTGGTGGTGGTAGTGATGGTGGTGATGGTGGTGATGGTGGTGATGGTGGTGCTGAGTTAGGTGGTGGTGAGTGGTGTGGTGGTGATGATGATGATGATGGCGGTGGTGAGTGGCGGTGGTGGTGATGATGGTGGTGGTGATGGTGGTGGTGATGGTGGTGGTGATGATGGTGGTGGTGATGGTGGTGGTGATGGTGGTGATGGTGGTGGTGTGGTGGTGGTAATGGTGGTGATGGTGATGGTGGAGGTGGTGGTGGTGATGGTGGTGTTGGTGATGGTGGTGATGGTGGTGATGATGGTGATGGTGGTGGTGATGGTGGTGGTGGTGATGGTGGTGATGGTGGTGGTGGTGATGGTGGTGGTGGTGGTGATGGTGGTGGTGATGGTGATGGTGGTGGTGATGATGGTGGTGATGGTGGAGGTGGTGATGGTGATGATGGCGATGATGGTGGTGGTGATGGTGGTGATGGTGGTGATGGTGCAGGCAGCTGTTCAGCTACATCCAGAAGGACCGCCAGGTGGAGAGTTTGGTGGAGAAGCTTTGCCATCGCTTCCGGACCACCAGGTGATGGACAACACCAACACCATCAACATCATCATCAACACCATCATCAACATCATCATCGTCACCACCATCATCAACATCATCATCAACACCATCAACATCATGATCAACACCATCATCAACATCATCATCATCAACACCATCAACAACACCATCATCATCACTACCATCACCACCAACACCATCCCCATCATCATCATCACCATCATCATCAACACCACCATCATCATCACTACCATCATCATCAACACCATCATCAACACCTTCATCATCACCATCATCAACACCATCATCAACACCACCATCATCATCACTAACATCATCATCAACACCATCAACAACACCATCATCACCATCATCATCAACACCACCATCATCAACACCATCATCAACACCATCATCACCATCAACAACACCATCATCAACATCATCACCATCATCAACAACATCATCACCATCATCAACACCATCACCATCATCACCACCATCATCAACACCATCAACAACACCATCATCAACATCACCATCATCAACAACATCATCACCATCATCACCAACACCACCATCAACACCATCAACACCATCATCATCATCATCAACACCACCATCATCAACATCATCATCACCAACACCATCATCAACATCATCAACACCATCATCATCAACACCATCAACACCATCATCAACACTATCATCATCATCACCATCAACACCACCACCATCAACACCACCACCATCAACACCATCATCATCACCATCATCAACACTACCAACACCATCACCAACACCATCACCACCATCATCAAAACCATCATGACCACTACCATCACCATCATCACCTTCATCACCACCATCATCACCACCATCAGCACCACCATCATCAACACCATCAACACCATCACCACCATCATCGACACCATCAACACCATCACCACCATCATCGACACCATCACTACCACCACCACCATCACCACCATCATCACCACCATCATCAACACCATGAACACCATCACCACCATCACCACCATCATCAACACCATCATCAACACCATCATCAACACCATCATCACCATCATCAACACCATCAACACCATCATCACCATCATCAACATCATCACCACAATCATCAACACCATCATCAACACCATCAACATCATCACCACCATCATCAACACCACCACCGCCATCAACACCACCACCATCATCAACACCATCAACACCATCATCAACTCCATCACTGCCATCATCACCACCATCATCAACACCATGAACACCATCACCACCATCATCAACACCATGAACACCATCACCACCATCATCAACACCATCATCAACACCATCAACATCATCACCACCATCATCAACACCATCACCACCATCATCAACACCATCATCACCATTATCAACACCATCACCACCATCATCAACACCATCAACATCATCACCACCATCATCAACACCATCATCAACACCATCATCAACACCACCATCAACACCATCATCAACACCATCAACACCATCATCAACACCATCACTACCATCACCGCCATCATCGACACCATCACCGCTATCATCGATACCATCATCAACACCATCATCAACACCGTCATCACCATCATCACCATCATCAACACCATCATCACCACCATCATCAACACCATCACCACCATCATCAACACCATCAACATCACCACCATCA